TATTGTAAATTAACTAATGATATTAATTTTGGATTTAAACAATATATGTATTAAAATTGTTCAACTACATCAATTTATTCAAACAAACCTATCATTCTCAATAAACTAAAACTCGGAAGTTCCCGGTCTATTAGCCTAACACGCTAGGACCAAATACTTAAACACATTAAATATTTTAAATGTAAAATTAATTAATTACCCTAAATTAATATTTTTTACATAACACTATCAAAGTATTTTTATTGTAAAAAATCACAAAGATATTGAACGTAAATTATTTTTATGCATCAAATAATTTAATTCTTTCTAAATATTAACGGGAAATAGGTTTTAAATTTATAAGAACAATTTGAAAATTTTAACTTACATTAGTAAAAGTGTTAATCAACAATACCAAACTTTAGCAAAAAGCCCTGCAAAAGTTCAATTTCAATTTTAATTGTCAATAGAACAATCAAGAATTGATCATTATTTTTTACCAACGAAAATACTTACATTGACTACATTTAAACGTCGACTTTGGTTGGCGGGTTATTTACTCGCTGCTGCTTGCATAAAATTGTCTTGAAATATACTGAAAGACATAATACATACGACTAATGTCATTTTTTAAAAATCAATTTCATATTTTCATCATCGATACTTACCAAACTCATCAATTTTTGTTGTTATTATATTACGTTCTAAATAAATAACATCAGCAATTAATTTTTGAAGTTAAAATTCTATTGTCTGACCGGTTTAAAATTTCTCGATTTTCCAATTAATTTTTAGTGAATTAATAATAAAAGCCATACAAAAATTTATTAGTCTATCGATTCATTATTTTTTTCTGATCAGTTTTTTATAATTAGTTTTTTTAAACTTTTCAAGATTCTCCGTAAAATTAATAAAAGTTACTCTAAAATATTTGCGTGACCGTTGTTGTTTATTGCGCAGTGGCCATATTTGTTGGCTCCGGCGCATGCGCGGACGGTTCTGCTCTTACAAACAGTGCCGCAGCTTTCGGCTCCGTCACTCACTAACTTATATACACATATATACATCCAGAATATTTATAATCTTCTTAATATTTTTAATCATAATCTTTAAAAAAAAAAAAAGAATTTTAAATTCATAATTACATTCATTTTTTTTACACATTTTGAGAATAAAATTATGACAATGAAAATTTACAGATATTTGATGACACTGAAGTTGACAGACATTAGAAATTTTTTTAGAATTTTATAACTATCAAATTATTATGAAAAAAATTTAATAAATAATTAATTTTTTTATTTTTTATTATTAATTTTTAATTTAATAATTTAGGTATGAATTTTCTAAACAAAAAAATTTAAGTAAATAATTTTTTTTAATTTAATTTTGCTACAATCTTAAATATTTCACCGCCAGGTGGCGCTAGTGTTGTATTTGTGGGTAAAAAAGACCTTCTTTTCATTGATATAAAATGTTTGTTGTCAAATATTCATGAAATAGTAAAACAATTACATTTTTTACCATAATAATTATTTTTTTTAACTACTAGCATTTCAAAATTGTGATTTTATTATTTAAATAGTGTTATATATATATATAATATAACACGATATACAATATATATTATATAAAAAATATATATTTTTTTCAAGCAACTAAATAAAAAGGTAAGCTATACCCATTTAACCTCACATAAAATTTTCCATCGGCAAAAAAACTAAATCTATTGAATAAAAATAAATCTATTAATTTTATAATATTATAAAAAAAAAACTATTAACATTACAAAAAAATAAATTATTAATTTCAGAAACAAAATGACTGATATAAAGCCAGTAGATCCACCACATTGGATTCGCCCTGAGGAAGTGCAGTTTAAATTATTAAAACAGCGGAAAAACGCTCTCCAAGCCCGGATGAACAGTAATAAAGTCAACACCAACAAGTCATTGCTAAACATATCAATCGAAAAGTCACCTTCTAAATTAGATAGCTCACAACAACAGAAACGGAAAAACCCCTTTGCAAAAAATAACTTACACAAGCGGTCTCGTGAAGAAGTCAAACCAGAGTTGGATGTCAGCTGTGATTCCATCCTATTTGCGCTGATAAATCCTAAACCTCCAGAGCCTAAAAATGTTTTTATACCTAACGAGGACTCCAGCTCGAATATGTCTTTCTCCAGCGTTTTTAACAAACTGGAACTTGATGAACAGCGATTCCCTGAACCGGAATTACCTAAAGGTGAACCCTATGTCCCAATAGACTGGACGTTGAACACAAAAATGCGTTTCATGTCTCCGAAGCCATTCGCTTGGAATGGAAAACTAAAGACGAGTGAGCAGGCATCTGGAACAACCGGATTCGTTAGATGTTTAGACACTGGAGATCAAGAATCTACTCTAGACACCAGCCCCAACGCACGGTTAGAAAATTTTTCTTTAATTATTATTTATAAATAATCTATATTATTAAGAGAATGAAAAAAAATTTTGTTTCCAGGATATTCATACGATAAAATCGGTTTCTTTAGTAAAATTTAGTGTCATTGCAAAAGTCTTAACTTGAATTTGTGCATCTTCAAAGTTTCATTTCATTCTCACTGATAGTCAATTATGATAAATATTTAGGCTGCATTCGAAAATGCTCTATCTCTAGATACATAAGTAAGAAATGATCTTGTATCTCGTGAAATATTGACATTTTTTAAAGATATAAGCTCACTCTGACATTGCACTCATCGAGACCTTTCATTTGAGTACTCACATCAATTTTTCATATATTTATACATAATATATATATGTATATATGAAAAATATATCAAAATGCATGTTGGTACTTAAATAAAAGCTCTTGATGAGTATAACATCGGGATGAGCTTATATCTTTAAAAATATCAATAGTTAAGAAAGTACAGTGTATTTTAACAAATATCTTGTGACTTATCGACATTTTTAAAGATATAAGCTCACCCCGACATTACACTCATCGAGACCTTTCATTTGAATACCCACATCAATTTTTCATATATTTATATATATTATATATTTATTTATATATGAAAAATATATCAAAAATGCAAGTGGGTACTCAAATGAAAGCTC